CCAAATCTACATTGAGTTTTAAGGACCTTAACAATCCAGCCCCTTTTCAAGGTTCAGCAGCCACTATCTAACAGCTCAGGCTCCTAAACAGATGCCTGGGTGGTGCACCCTGTTAGTGAGGTAGGACAGGCACAGGTGAGACACCACAAGATAAGTGTGGTTGGGTTGGCAGAGTGCTTGCCAAGTATACCCCAAAGTCTTGGGTCAACAATCTGTAGCTCTGTGGTGTGTATGCATACCTGCAGTTCAAGCACCTGGGAGCTGGGGGAAGCTCAAGCTAAGGAGTTCAAGGTCATTCCTGGCTAAATATGCCACTGTGGTTGAGGTTGATTCATAACTCTTTGGGGCATCAGGGTAACTAGCAAGTGTCTCGGTACAGAGTGGACAATGGGGGTCATATGGAAAGAAAGAGGAAAGTGGGAGGTGGGAAGACAGGCCAGAAGCTGAAATGAGAAATGGAAAAGATGAAGTTAGAGACCAGGGATTAAAACAGGAGGCAAATAAAGGAAGAAAGACAATGAAGAAACAAACAGCACTGTGCCAGCTGTGTTAAAGTTATACTATGTTCAGGACAGCAGAGGTGTGACCCAGGCCAAAATCGGTTTTTAGATCAAGGTGGGTCTCCAGATGTTGTCTTTGAGGGGGTCTAGCCAGGAGTCCCCCTGCAATCTCTCTTGGATCGTGGATCAGATATAAAAACAGGCAGGTTTCTTGCTGTGGCTGTTAGAAAGTTCACCTCTCAGGTAGGCCAGGGAAAACAAGTCCAACTGCCCAGCTCTGCCTGATGAAACTTAAGTTATAAACCTACTCCCATGTCTGGTGCCCCAGATATCCCTTGGTATAGGCCCTATATTGTCTTGCAGCACTTTATCCCTTTAGAAGCCTGTAAGTACAGGAGACATCCTTTGTCACAAGGGCTGCTAGTGTGATCTCTACCTCAGAACCCTTGCTGCTATGGCTGGTTATTGAAAACCCATCTCAGGGCCTTTGTAGCCTACAGAATCACCAGCTTTGATCTAACAGTGTTCTCTCTGGTGTCTCCGAGGAAAAACCTGCTTTCCTTGAGTTTTCCCAATTCTAGAACTGTACTTTTTGGCTCATGGCTTCTTTCCTCTATCCCATGGCATCTCTCAGAGCATTCTTCTACAGTTTAAGGATTTCTGTGATTTTACTGGATCTGTCTGTAAAATATATGGTAATCTTGTCTCAAAGTTCATATGATCAAATCTGCCTGGACATTTTGCTATAAAATGTTTCATGTTCACAAATGCTGGGAATCAGGGTATGCAGGAGGTGGAGTAGCATATGCACATCACAGAAATCCTATGTCTTTAGTTGGAGCCCTCTTTTTATGTCAGGGACCAAGCAGCACCCTTTTAGGTACATGGATTTCCAGGCTAGCCATCCCAAATGGCTTTTAGCTTACATACCATTTGTAATATAGAAATAGCACATCAATTACTCTAAGCAATGATATATAATATATATACATATATAATATATGTAATATATATACATATATAATATATGTAATCAAAAGCTAGCATCCACATATAAGAGAACAAGTGCAATGTTTGTCTTTCAGTGTCTAGGTCACCTAAATCTGGATGATTGTTTCAAGCTCCATTCATTTACCTGCAAGTTTCATGCTTCTGAGTGGGATGATATCCCACTGTGTAAATATAGCACATTTCATTGTTTATCCATCAGTTCAGGGCCACCAAAGCTGTTTCCAGCCTCTGGCAGCAGTGATCATGGATGATCAAGTATAAGGCCCCATATACAGGAACAGCTGACCAACACAAATCAGATTCTATGTGATTTGTTGTGATTTAAATTATTTTGTGCTGTGTTTTTCTAAGAGGGAGAAAGGACTTGAAGTTGGAAGGGAAAGGAGAGGGGAGGGCCATGAGAAGTTGGAAAGAGGGAAAACAATATGGTCAAAATGCATTGTATGAAATTCTCAAAGAATAAATATTTTTGAAAGATTATATTCTGGTATAGATTGGCAAGGACATAAGTAAATTACTGAAATCACCCACTGTGGTAGCATGATACCAGCATTATCTAGAAGCCACCAAAGAAGGCTGCTTGACTCTGAATGACCACTGCCAAAGCTGATGGCTAGCATCTCACTTTTCTTGGACAGGTGAAGAATCGTCCTTACTTCTCTGTGGCTGAGGCACTCTCTTAAGAACTTCTTCCCTCATTCAGAGGCATTTGTCTCATATCATTGTAGTCAGAAACAAGCTGGGTTGAGAATATGGCCAGATGCCCTCTGAAAGTTTGCTTCTGATTCCAAATCATGCCTGGCTCTCACCTTTAGCACCTTTGAACCAAATGTCTGAACAAGCTGGAAATGGAAGTTAAAGATTCCATGTGGGAAAGAAAAAGGAGGTCCAAGAGAGAAAGAGGTGAGCTTTGTGATCATAACTTGCTATCCAGAATAAGCCTGGCCTTCCGGTAGCCAGAACACAGGAAGGAAACGTCAAGCCCAAATTACCCACAGATTGGGCTATTTAGCCTTTTGTTTCCTCCAAATGCAAAGTAGTATTTATTTGTTGGTCACAGAGTTCCCAGCACTTGCTAGTTATTGGGGCTATTAATACTGGGTATCTCCATGGGTCTTATTGGGTGAGTGAGTTTATATGCATAAGAAGTCACACTGCATTTGCCTGCTTTGGGCACATCATAATTTGTGTAAAACCAGCTCACATTTGCTAAATGCTTAACATTCCAGAAGCCGCTTTAAGACAGGCGCTGCTGCATCTGGTACCCAGCAACTCAGAGGTCAGAGGAGACATGAAGTCAGAGAGAGATTAATCATCTTCTTATCTCTCTTGGTCACAGATGAGGCAGGATAGAAAAACGGCTAATCGTGGTGCCATGAGGACAAAAGGCTGGGGAAGGGAGGAGGCTGTGATCCTGAGATCCCATCTGCTTTTGATGCTCAGAAAGGCAGGAGACCAGGCTTCAGGGGCTGCTGATAGGGAGCAAATGGTCAAATGGTCCACCAAGATATGTGTGTTTCTCAAAAGGTATCACATAACAAAGGCTATTAATAAAGTGTGCTCACTTAGGGCCAGGTGATATGTTCTCAAAGACATCTTAATTGAGGGTATAGGGGCAGTGATTAGGTTGTGCTAAATTGGGCTAAAATGGTGTATAATTGTGTATTAGTCAGGGTTCTCTAGAACTTATAGAATTTATTAGAATGACTTACAGGCTGTGAAAAGTCCAAGAATTCAGTAGTTGTTCAGTTCACAAGGTCGGATGTCTCAGCTAGTCTTTAGTACACACTGGAATCCCAAAGAAATAGGCTCTAATGCCAGTGAAGGAATAGATTTGCCAGCAAGGTGAAAGCAAGCAGGCAAAGAGTGAAAACTTCCTTCTTCAATGCCCTTATCTGTTGGGGGCCAAACATCTCAGGGCTTGGCCGGCCACATAGCTATATATTAACCTTTACATAGCAGCTCCTTAGAACCTCAGAAATGAAACAACTTGACCCAGTCCTCCACCCACGGGCTCAGTCACCTAGGCAACCCTTCCTGGACCTCTTACTCATGAATTCTTTACCCTGCCAAACATCCTTTCTTTGTGGCTTCCTAATATCCTGCCCACACTAACACCTGGGGCACAAACAACCCATTCTACCCTTCCCCATATCCTGCTCTGCTGACTATATAAGCTAGCCCGAGAAAAATAAAGTTTGCCAATTGATCAGAATCCTGTCTTGTGGTCATTCTTTCTGAGTCTCTTGTCCCCATTCTCTATCCCTGACTCTCTTGCTCCAGGTTGATGTCCTGCAGGTCAGGACACTTATCAAGGCTTGCAGAAGTACATGTATCCCAGATTAGAGGTGAGATTTCCCAGCTCAAAAGATCTGGGTTAAAGGTGTGTCTTCTACCTCAAAGATCAGATTAAATGTCGATCTTCCTACTTCAGATATAACAAAGATCCCTTACAATTGTGCCCCTACTTTTGAGTTTTAGTTAATTCTAGATGCAGTCAAGTTGACAACCAGGAACAGCCATCACAAATGGTATGCTCCAGGATCTCTCCTCTCTTGGACTTAGATGATTCCCATCATAAATATACAACTTTGTTTACTGATTGTGATGGTTTGAATGTAACCCGCCCCCATAGGCTCACAGGGAGTGGCACTATTAGGAGATATGGCCTTGTTGGAGTAAGAGTGGCCTTGTTGGGGGAAGTTTGTCATTGGAGGTGTGATTTGAGGTTTCAGATGTTTAATCCAGGCCCAGTGTCTCTCTCTTCCTGCTGCCTGCAAATCCCAATGTAGAACCCGTGGCTGGCTCCTTCTTCAGCACCATGTCTGCTTGCATGCCACCATGTTTCCCTCCATGAAGATAATGAACTACACCTCTGTGTCTGTAAGCCAGCCCCAGTTAGATGTTTAACCTTGTAAGAACTGTAATGGCCATGGTACCTCTTCACAGCAATAGAAATCCTAAGATACTGATTAAAAAAATACTTCAACTTTAAACCTGTTACTAATAAAGTCTTTGGACAATGTTAGACAGGAGTGGTTTCTTAGCAAGCTTTCTAGATGTAACTTGAGCCACCCAAATCCTACATATCACTATTGTAAAGAAACCTAGCTGCAGCTCTCCCTTAGAGAAGACTGACATATCCTAATCGGTGTGCTTGACTCTCTCCTGAACACCTGTCTATTTTCAGTCAGTCTGAGTTTGCTTCACATGTGACTCACCCTGAAATCTACTGGCTAAGCCACAGGTTCCATTTCATCTGGGTGAAGGTTTTTGAAAAGAACTCTTCAGGAAGCTGCCAGTGTAGTGTGCATCTGTATCCCCACTGCCGGTGACACAAGGATCAGTCACAACATAGGTTAAAACTAGTTTTCTTAACTTCCAAATCAAGTCTCTTTCTGCTTCGGTGTGTAGGGGGAGAAATTCCAGTCACTGCACAGTTTGAGCAGAGTTTCAGTGCCTCTAGAGCTGTCAGAGATGTAACACTAGTTTTCATTTACGATATATATTTAGCAGCAATTGACTATAATTTGGTGGGGTGAGGAGAAGCAACAAAAGGAAAAGAAGATGGCATTTTATGCAATGTTATACAAAAATATAACAAGAACTTGAAAATGAATATTATATAAAGAACCAAAAGGGCTCAGGAAAAAAGCCACAAATCGCTTTGCTGTTATACCATTTTAGAAATAGCACGTGGTTCCTTCGGCATGGTGAGATAAAGGAATCAAACAAGCATATACAAAGGTGACTTTGAAGCTTCAGAGCCCAGCGTGCAGAGCTGTTCAGTATAATAAATTTTATGAAAATCGGTGCTATCTATGCTTTACAATTAATGGTGTAGACATCAGAGCCACATCCCTTACTCCATATATGTCTTTCTTCCTTATCTGACTCTAAGGGCAGGTTCTACACAGACCATTTTATTAAGGAAATGTCAATGTACTTTGGGGGCTAGGTCAGGCTCATACTGATTCTCAGTTCTGAGATTTAATCAGGTTGAGCATTTTTGTCATTTTAAAGGCCGGTCTAAAAGCATGCTACTAACCCTATCTGTTCCTGTTTTTATTCATCAGCTTTTGATAAATGCCATTTCTCTTTTAGATCATGTTTCTGCAACCATTTTAAATATCAATGAAGAGCTCCACAAACACAGATTCTTCAACTCCTCTGAGAGTTTTTCTCATGGCACGTGTAGCAAGTGTGACTATTGTGTTTAGTTAAGTGGGTGAAAAGTGTCTTTTCTTCTATGTTAGTCTGTGAGGAATAACGTCTGGCTCACCTTAAGACCAGACTCATGAAGACTGTCCACTGCCTCAGTCTTAGCTCATGCAAGCAGCATCGAACAACGCTTTGGGCCTTTATTCACCAAACTGAATGCTTTTCATTAGGAATTCTACTCATAGAGAAAGTCTGAGAAAATTATGTAGCAATCATCTTCCCCTTAACCTAAAAATAAAATACAAATGTGAATATGTTCACAGCATTTCATGTTCCCACCTCCCCCTTAACCACCCAGAGACATGGCTGAACCAAGAAGAGGTGCTGTGAACCCTTCATGGGCCCAACATCAAGAGTCTGTGAAATAACTTCGAGATCCTTCACTGATTAGCTGTGTCTTCTCATTTGCATTTGTAGGCTGGAGAAGAACTGGAAAGTCCATATCTGGTGGGGGAGGGGAGACACAAAGAATTAATAATCAGACCAGTTTTTTTTTTTTTCAAGTTCCTTTGATAATGGGGCAAAGGGCAGGTGTTTGGTTGAAATAACAAGCAAATCAACTCACAAGACATTGTTTTGCTAATTACAGGATGATAACTAAACCCATGTTGGACACTGCACATTCCAGGTTCTGTTTTTCATGAAAGCTACAACATGTATGAAAAATGCCATTTATATGGAGAATGAGCTCTAGAGTCTAGTAGTCCATAGCTGCATGCATGGCTTTGTTGGGACAGGAGCTAAAGCTCAGAGCTTGCTTTGTTGGAGAACCCAAGAGGAAGTTTAAAACATAAGGCTAGTGTCCAGAGTAGCCGCCCTTGCTCTTAGGTCTACATGAAGCTCTGTTCTGGTGCTCAGCTGAAGAAGCTTCCTTAAAAACATTTGATGACAAACCAATTAGCACATGAGTTAGCAGCCCATGTCTTTTCGGTACCCATGTCTTCTAGAAGATACACAGAAAATCATTCAGCACAAAACTGTTGGACTCTCAGGGACCTAGCAGAAATGAATGACTTCACATTCCACCTAGCACTAAAAAGTCCCTATAAGATTACAAGAAACTTGAGCTTATAGTCAACACGTGTGTGCACACACACAAATCATGCTCACAGAAAAAGAAACATAGAAACAATGTACATGGACTGAAAAGCTGATAATAACAAAGGATGAGATAGGACCCAGAGAGACATCAATGTTTGCATTTATCAAACAGAATATAAAATAATAGTGTATTTAAAGTTATCAGACTGTGAAATCAATAAAAAAGCCAGTGATTAATGTACTTGAAATTGCATTAAAAAACCAAAGAACTTTAAAAAGCTAGAAAGGGAATTCATGAAGTGGAAGCCCTATCCAAAGAGATTATTCGGAACATAACCCAGACACAAAAAGAAAATGTGATAATGGATTAAAAACTATGAAGGACAGTGTGAAGACAATATGCCTTTTAGGATGAAATTACAAAAGCTGTAACAGTAATATTTGAATTCACAGACCCAAGAACCAACTGGTTTCTCCTACAAAGGCATGTCTCTTTCTTTTGCTTGCTTCTTTCTCTCCTTGGTGATGGTGTGTTTGTGTGTCCAGGTGTCTGTTTATGTGGGACAAGCACACATGCATGTGTGGACAAGTATATGTGGAGGCCAGAAGACAACAAAAGGTGTTGTTCCTCAGAGTCATTTACGTAGGTCATCCTTTGGCCTCCACACATGTACACACACACATGTGCTGAACCTATACTTACACATACACATACCACACATGCATACAAGTGTTCAACATTACTAGTAAATGAAGAGATAAAAATTAGAGGCACAGCACTATGCCATATCCCAGGCACTATGCCATATCCCACACTCTAGATTGACACATATTTCCAGTCTGGCAATATCAAGTGTTGGCAAGGATGTAAAGCAACAGAAACTCACATGAACTCTTAGTGGGGATGTAAATTAACTCATCAGTTTTGCAGAACTGCTTGATGCTACTTAATACATTGTAAGTGTACATACCCCGTGCCTAAGGGATTCCAGTACTGTGTGTAAACACAAATGCCCTTAGCACTCATGCATCAAGATGTAAGTACAAGATCATTCCTACCAGCTGTTTGTAATGGCAAATAAGGTGGGGTTTACTCATGTTCACCACCAGTAGAATGGATACTAAATTAGGGATTCTTTCTCAGTGAGAATAAACTGACAAAATCCAGACAAAATAAGACCAGAGGCTTAGACAGTGGATTTCAGGTTGAGCCAAATGTGAGGCAAAGTCAGACTGATTAAAAACAGGAGAGAGTCAAGCACATCAACAAAGTGAATCTCAGGCGTGTAATGTTGAGGAGAGCAAAACAAGTTACAGAAAGTGTTACTATACAAAAAGGACATTCGTTTAAAATCCAAAGATGTGCAAAACCAAGCAGTCCTGATGAGGAATATAAATACGGTGGGCATACCAAAAGCAATAGTAGGGGGGTTCCTTCTAAGAAGGAATCTAAGAGGGAATGCCACAGATCAGGGTAACATTATTTTCTCTGGTGGGAAAAGTTTGGTCTCAATATTTGCTTGTATCTGTTTAATAGAAACAGTAACAATTAAAAGTTCTAAGAAGTGAATTAAATAAGAAATCCTCAACCACATTTTGCAGAACTGGGGGGTGACACACCCCTCTGCCTTAGCAGCTAGCAGTCTGCTGCTCTCAATTAGGCAACAAAGGGCTGGAATAACTTTCCCACATCCCACGCTTAACGAATATTTTGCTCTGCTTAGGCCTATTTCCTCCATCCCCACCCCCATCCCTTACTTCTAGTCACACAATTCACCACCTCTGTGTAGTTGCCAAATGTTTCCCTGGACCAAAATGGAAGCCATTGGGGCTGCCCTTTGCTCTCCGTTTCCCCTAGGTCTGGGTGACCACCAACCTATTTCTCCTCCACAAATTCAAAGGCCCTGAATGTTTTTTTGTTTTGTTTTGTTTTGTTTTGTTTTCCTGACTGGAACCGTGGCACACTTGTCTTTCGTGCCTAGCTTCTTTTGCTTAGCATCACACCCCTAAGTCTGTCTCTTTACAGAGTGTGCTGGTGCTTCCCTGAGTCTCCATGGTTCTCTCTGGACTCCTTTACCTCTCTCCTAGCTGCCCCTGCTGATTTTGAAGCATTGAGACCTTCCTTGTATAAACACATCTTAGTTCCGGGCAGTAATTCAGTGATAAAACTGTCTGGTGGAGCCCCCTAATATACTTCATCTGCCTTGCCTGGCGTATACAACACCATTCACTATCTTATCTGAGGGATTTAGGGAGGGACCGTACCAAATAATTTTTGGGTCAAGATTTGTTTCTTCAAAGGCTTCCCATCTCCACAGTCCCCTGCATCTTGATCTTCTGTGTTTCTGCTTGAAATGTTACTTTTCTGGGGAAGCTGTGCTAACCTGAATTTAGGTCAAGCCATTTATTGTTCACTTTGACAGGCCCCATGTTTCTCTTCTGGTAGATTTATTGTGCAAATTGGCCAGCTCTCTGTGTTTCTATGTTTAATATTTGCCTCTAAATCTTATTTGCTAGATTGTAATCCTCAAGATTCCAGGGACCAGGTCTGCGAACATACTGTCGACAGATACCAAGTGCTCTATAAATATTTGATATAGAAAGATGATCTCAGTACACACACACACACACACACACACACACACACACACACACACACACACACAAGGTGCACTTTGAGCTGCCTTGTTGGGGACAGTTCTCGGCTGCCTCACCCTTCCTACTGCCCTGGCCTGGTGCCTTAATGCTTGATGATGTCTTTGCATGAAACATCACAGATTTCTACCATTACTTTCCTTGCACTGTTCTTAGACACTGAAACCAGTGTCTAAGTATGGAACCTGAAAAGAGAGGAAGAATTTCCGTTTCCCTCGGTGCCCTTTCCCAGGACAGGCAGATGTAATGAATGCTGAATGGTGTTCGATGTGCAATTCATGTCTCTGTATCTTGGCGGAGAACAAGAACCATATGGCTGCTTCTGCTCAGTGGTTGTGAGTTTATTTGAGTTCTATCCAGGCAGGTGGCAATAACAACTAAGCAATCAACATTTTTCTGTGCTCTGAATCATACTCTTTTAGATCCAAGGTCAGTACTATAAACTCTCCTCTCCTTTGCGACTCTATTCCACCTCTTTCCATAGAAAGGAAACCATTAGTCCACAAGGAATTGTTAGTATTTGTCTGAACAGTTTTGGTTGGATTGAATTCTATTGGCTTTGACTTAGAAGAGAAAAAAAAATACTGAATTTAATCCTTATCTTTTTGATGACTGGCTGCAGTTTAAGCTTTTGTTGCTTTTATTCCTTGTTAAACACACACAGGGAGGGGGAGGGGAGAGGGAGAGATATAACACTGTGGAATATGATTCTATCACAGCTGATAGAATTCAGATTTCCTTGTGGCCTTCAGATGTCAAAGGGGCACAGGGTCTAAACAGTCTGTTTTAATCACGCTTCTCAACATTTCATACAGCGGAGTTTCTAAATGTGAGAGCAAGGCACATAATGTTTCACTGTTTAGGTTTTAATTCTTCAAAGACTGAAAATTACCCAAGGAAATTTCTTTTGATACCGACAGGTTTCCAAGAGCCTTCTAGATTAGCACTGGGAGGGTATTTTGAGAAAGACAGGAGACCTCATTTGTGAGCTCCCCAGCTGGCAGCAAACACTGAAAGATGGCACTGTTTGAACTGTCTGCTCTTCATTTTTTAACCATAGCGGTTGGATAACATTTTTCAACACCATCTAAAGAAACAGAGCAACTCAAACAATTCTCTCTCTTCTGCCAGCAAAAGCTACCCAGCGTGTCACCACACCCAAGCAGAGACTAGTATACAGTTACAATTACAAAGACATCTAACAGTTCAACAGCAGCAGCAACAGTAGCAAATGCAGAGTGTGATTCTATGTGTGTATTACACACACACACACACACACACACACACACACACACACACACACACAGGACAGAAATGTGCAAAGACAAAGCTTCATGTGCAAAATCAGACTTTATGCTATTTCAAAGCAAGTTAACATTTCTAACATTTTTAAAGATGACTCAATGGGTAGAAAGTATTTGATATTTCAAATTTAGATTTTTTACAAATTAAGAAATACGACATTCTATAATATGTTTTTAAAGTGAAATTTGAAGGGGTTAATCACTTAATTTAATCAGAAATGTACTTTTATAGTTAGCTCCCTTTCTTTTTCCTTTTTCATATTGTCTTTCTTTTTTCTTACTGTTTGAGAATTTCATAACGCACATAGTGTGTTTTGATCAATTGCATCATTCCCTCCCTTTCAATCTCTTCTCTGCCTGCTTTTCTCTCCCAACTTCACCTGTGCTTCTCTTTCTCTTAACCCATGGAGTGCATGAATTGAGCATCAATTCTCAATCTGTGGGTTGCAACCCCTTTGGGGGGTCAAATGACCCTTTCACAGGGTTTGCCTAAGACCATCAGAAAACACAGATATTTACATTGTTATTCATAACAGTAGCAAAATTACAGTTATGAAATAGCAACAAAAATAGTTTTATGATTGGGGATCATCACAACACGAGGGACTACATCAAAGAGTGGCAGCATTAGGAGGATTGAGAACCACTGCTTTAGAGCCTGACACCGTCTCTCCAAGGCTCATGAATCATTGCTGAAGAGAGGCTGGAAAGATTCTAAGAGTTGGAAGTAGCAGACTTTTTGTAGGGAAATGAGATTTTCTGGACTTGACCTGACCATTGCTTATATGAACTTGCAGTGGCTGTGGCCAATGTATAAGACTTGTACAGATTAAGCCAACTGTGGAAGATGGGGAGGATCATGAAGTTTCTTGCTAACTCCTGTTCTTTCTTTCTTTTTTTTTTTTGGTATAGTAAGGTATAAGGGAAAAGTCCAGCAGTTGTTAACTTTTATCCTGGAAGGAGAATAGCTTCACCTAAGTTTCATTACATTTCATATTTCAGCATTTCTGGATGAAGAAATAACAGGAGAAAGAAATGCTGCCTTTTAAAATCAGTATTCATGCACAAAAATAAATTTTTAAGTCATAACCTTCATTTACGGGTCAAATCTCTAAGCACTGGGTAACTAGATGTATAGCACTTGGATGAACAGTTAATATAAATGCCCTGTGACCCTAACAATCCACACACTATTCTATCTTATATCAATTAACTCCCCTCCTTCCCCTTCCCAGGGAGATGTGTTCAGTACCACCATCATTCAGACACAGATCAGAGAGTGAAGTCCTCAGATAGGTCTGGTTCTCCACCTTACCAGTATTAATTTGCATTAAAAATGTTGTAGGCTACTTGCATCTTTCAATTAGTGAATGTAAATCTGGACCTAATTATTGCAACTGGCCACAAATGAAGCATAACATCACTACCAGATGTTTACACTAGAGATCAATGGTGGGCTCAGGGCACAGCTAGTGAGACCTAAGCCCCAGAGACCCTTACCAATGCAGAACATAGACTGGGATCGAAAGACATTCTTACCAAAATCAGAAAGAGCCCTGTCTCTTTCCACACTGACTTTTCTCATGGTAACTCTTTTTGACAATGGATACAAAAGACCTATTAAGAGATTTGGCTAAAGGAAAGCTGAATTGGAGATGGATTCTGTTTGAGTTCAATGGGACTTGATTTTGTGATTTGCAGAAAATCTGGTTAGCTAGTTATTGCTTCCTAGACAGGTGTAGGAATGGCTTAAACAATACTCCTATGTCTTACTATGCCAATGCATGTGCTGGGACGACATTAAAATCCACACCAGACACTGTGACACATCATATGAATGTGTCCTCTGGGCTCTGACCCCAGCAGGGCTGTAATGCCAACAAGGTTTCAAGTGTGCAGAGTAAAGGTTGTCTGTGTGGGGCTGGAGAGATGGCTCAGAGATTAAGAGCACTGACTGTTCTTTCAGAGGTCCTGAGTTCAATTCCCAGCAACCACATGGTGGCTCACAGTCATTTATAATGAGATCTTGTTCCTCCTAGGCCATGCAGGCAGAACACTATATAAAAAATAAATAAGTCTTAAAAAAGAAGTTGTGGGAAATTCTCCCAAATCTTACATCTTATATGTATTAAATAAACTAGATAGGCCTCCCAAATTTGACAATAATCTCTAATCTTATACAACACTGTCAATGTGAGTTGTAAAGGTAGAAGAAATATTTTTAATTCATCAATTATAAAAAAGTAAATTTTGGTCAAATACTGTAAAGGCAGAATTTATTTTTATGCTTTCTACAGAAAATGATATAGTGCATTTACGTTGCATGAATAAGCATTCAAAGAATATGCAGCCATAGGAAAATGCCATATAGGTGAGCCGGTAGCTCCTGATTTTATTTCCCCTCTGATTTTGTGACATACATGGTATTTGTCCATTTTTAAGCACATTAATTTGTTGATTCCTTTCTCTCATTTTAAGCAAATACTCAAGTTCTGTGTGTGTGTGTGTGTGTGTGTGTGTGTGTGTGTGTGTGTCCTTTTTAAAGAGACCTGACCAAGATTGTATAAATTTTTGGACCCATAAAACCTGGGTCTCCCTAACATAAGATCTTTCAAATATTTATAAATAAGAAAATAGTTCATTTCTTTAACACAGAGGTGTAGGATTGCAGATCTGACCTCTGTAATGGAGTCAGTAGCTCTGGGGTGTCAGGACAGGGAGAGAAGCACAGAATCACCAATCACCCAGCAGCAGGAGCCTCAGGGAGAAGCTGGCACCTAGTCTAAGCTTCTGTTCCAGAAAAGAGATCTTCCACCAAGGTCTACTGAAATGACCTGCAGGTGCTTTTTATCCCACTTAACAAGGAAGGGCAGCAAGGCTTTTCAGTAAGTATGGATGCTGGACCAGGTAGATCTGGGTTCAATTCACCTACTTTAGGTTTTCCTACTACAAATGAGAAGTTAGGAAGAATTAGAAGTGCCATGACATGTGTTAAAACACCACAATGAAACTCTTTGCTTCACATTTTAACTCAAAGTCAACACAGCCCCTGACGCTCTCATTTCACTGTCCCACCCTGTGCTGTCAGTGGCTGATCATTGGGCTGACTGATGGGAGTAACAGGGTGACAGATCATATGGTCAGAGACACAGTTTTATAATACTGCACCCACAGAGACCTCACACTGTACCCCAGAGACCACCCATGCACCCCATCTCTTCCCTTGTAGGAACTGACATTTCAGTTTCATTAAAGGTCAGTTTACTGGTTTTCCTGATAAGTTACACCTAGAGAAAATTCGGTATAGCCATAGAAATGAAGTGTGGCATTTTCTTTTTAATTCTTAAGCACCTCCCTCACAAGAGTGTATGTGACGTGTACCCTGTAATCGTCACTTGTGAGCAAGTTGTGACACAGACCCTGCCTTTCCCTAATGAGAAGCCCTTTCCATGTATTATCAGTGCTTAATTTGTTTGTTAGTACTCCTGAATTCCTGTTCCTTCTGTACATTCTCATTAAAAGATTCAATATTTGTCATTGTCTAACAAAATATCACAAAGTAAAAGTACAACCATTGTATTTCCCCATCAGGCCACAGTTTGGTTCCAATATCAGTAACATGAAATGATCAGAATACTTCTAGTTGCTGAATGGCCATGACCATAGCAAGACATCACAGTTTGCAGGAAAAACCAACCAACCAACCAACCAACCAACCAACCAACCAACCAACCAAAAAATCCCACAAAACCAAAACCAAACCAAACCAAACAAAAAACTTCTCTGCCCTCTTTGAGCTCCCAATTCTGAGAGTATGGGATTCAGTAGTATTTGCGTGATTAAAGACATCCTTTTTCTGGAATCTTCATGGTTCACTCACACAGTATGTTACTTAGCATTACATCTGATGGGAAATACAGGAGGCATACCGAAGCCTTTAAACAGCCCTGGTGCTGTTTTAGTGTGACCAGAGAACTAGGGGAATGCACCGTTCTGGTTCCAGTAGACCTGAAGACAGTAGCTTTTTTCAATCATCAAGTAATCCCTTAAGTTGTTTGGGCGGACTTGGGAGTGATAAAGTCTGCACCCCAAGATCATAATGTATTCCACAGGAGAAAATGACAGAAGAATGGCTTCAAGACAGCAATACAATGGCTGGCTTGATCCTAGATTGCTTAAACAAAGACATTGCCCAACGACCATAAAATATCTCTGGTGTTTTGAATTCTGTGAGATCTTTCTTTACAGTTTTTTTTTTCTTTTTGGATAACATGAACTTGAAAAAATAAAACAATGTAGCAGAGTTGTATGCACACAGAAGGACAGACAGAGGTGGCTGAGCAGAGTGGAGATGTGTACTACATTTTTTTATATTGTGGAATATTTGTTTAATGATGCAAAGATATGTTGCATTCTTTTATGCTGCATTTGTTTAACTCTGTGAAGTTGTGTTACTTTGCCTGTCTAAAACACCTGATTGGGGGCTGGAGAGATGGCTCAGCGGTTAAGAGTTCCGACTGCTCTTCCAGAGGTCCTGAGTTCAATTCCCAGAAACCACATGGTGGCTCACAATCATCTGTTATAAGATCTGGTGCCCTCTTCTGGTGTGCAGACGTATATGGAAGCAGAATGCTGTATACATAATAAGTAAATAAAATCTTTAAAAAAATAAATACCTGATTGGCCTAATAAAGAGCTCATGGGAGGGACTGTCAGGCAAAGAGAATAAATAGAAGAGGGTGGAGGAAGAAAACGAGGAGAGGAGGACACCAGGCACCAGTCACTCATCCACACAACACAGCCAGCCATGGAGTAAGTAAAGAAAGACATAGAATAGAGAAAGGTAAAAGCCCAGAAGCAAAAGGTAGACTGAATAAGTTAAGAAAAGCTGGCTAGAAACAAGCTAAGCTAAAACCGGGCATTCATAAGTAAGAATAAGTCTTCATGTATCTATTTGGAAGCTGGGTGGTGGGCCTCCAAAGAGTACAAACAAACAAACAAAAAACCCCAACTACATTAGCTTTCCAGTACTGGGTACTCTCACCCTAGCTTCCCGGAAGCCAGAGCCCATTTCTCTTGTAAAGAGATGGAGAACAGTACTTGTTTTACATCATCATGGGCATTTAATTATTTTTCTCTAATGATGTTTAGCCTTTCTCTATGCTCAGTCAAGGTAGATGCCTTTCATCTTCTCCGAAATATCCACCAAAGCGGATGGAGTTGGGAGACTGATCCTGTATGGTCATTGGACCTGTTACTTCAGGAAGACCCTGTATCCACTTGGGTCTCTGACATGATGCCCATGACCCCTACTCTCAACTTACCCTACCTTTTTCCATGTCAGTCCTGATCTGTTCCTCAAGGTCCTCTGGTGACACGTAGAAGTTCTCTTCTGATGTCGATGATTTGGGTCTACAATGTCCACAACAACAGTTGCAGCAGCAGCAAAGGCAGCAACAAAAATAGCAGCCTGTCAAGAGGCCGATGATGATGAACAGGGTCTGGGGTAAACAGATCAAATTCTAAGTGAGGGGCATGCCGAGGAAGATGACCTCAGAGACCAAGTCTGGAACTGTGTATCTCAGAGGCATGATGACATCGTAGCATGCCGTGCACCCACACACCCGCCCTTATCCTTACCCCTGCAGAAACCACCTTGTACGTTCCTTTTAAATAACTTCTTCTCTCACAAACGTTTGTACATATGAGACCTAGAGGAAATTATTTTCCTTCAGAGTAGTGAAGCTTGGCACTTTTTCTTCTTTTTTCCTTAGGCCGTTTTGAGTACTAAAAGTGAGGAAATCGAAACAAAAACCAGACCACCCGCTGGACAGAATACCCATTGGTCAAGTGAACTAGTCCCACTGACTTGTTCATGAAGGTCAGTCATCACCCCGGAAGCATGCACTGCAGGGAAGTGCTCCTGTAATGCCTCCCCTGCAGCCTCAGGTCCCTGTGAGTAACCTGGTCCTGCATAGCCTCTCCATGACATCCCTATGCCTTCGCCCCCTTCCCTATTTGGGTCAGAGGGCTTTGCTGATTCTTCTCAGGGTGTCTGGTGTCACTTAAAGAACCTCCTGTTGGTTGCTCTGCCCTCACCCTTGCTTCATTTGACCCCACCCTGTGCAGGGCTGCTGGGGTGAACTATATGAGACCCTTGTTCTCTGGAACTCGTGGGTTTCTGCCAACTGTCCCTGCACTACCACAGCCCTCTTCCCACCATACAGCTCTACTCTCTTCGTACATTTGCTTGCCTAGACATCCCTGCCCTTTCTTCGGTTGACACCCACCTGATGTCTAAGATCACCTCAAAAACCACCCTTATGATGCCTTTCCTGAATCCACTCCAAAACAAGGACTTTGCCTATCCTTCAGATCCCAGTTGTAGGTCAAGACAACTGAGATCTCTACTCGGTTCTTCTGACAGCTGGAACACAGACTGGCTGACAGGTCCGTCTCATTATACCAGGCTTAATGTCTTACAGGCTACAACCAACAGTCATCCTTCAACCCCTTGGGCCTGGTGGATTAGTACCTGACATGTTGCAGACACCCAGTTCCTACTGAGTTAACGAGTATACAAAATAATAGGCAAACAAATTATTTGTTTCTCCCAGGGAACAGTACCAAGATCTCCATACAAGCACCAATGGCTTGCTCACTAAACAGGAGACACTTTCTCTTGACTTCCCCAATCTGCAATTCCAAGAAAACCATTTTTTTTTGTCAACTGAGAAAAATCAAATTTATTATAATACATAAGGAAGTTTGTACATCTTAAATCTTAATGAAGATTTTATGTAATCAATGAGTTGGGGTGGGACACAGATAAAGGTCACGTGTATGCATAAACACTTCTTCATCGACCTAAGAAGAATTCAGGGTTGACATCCCCACTTTCTTTCTCCTCATTACTCATCTACTTATTATGGCTCCAAGAATGGGATAGAGCCTGAAGGTGGCTTGTAGAGGGCATCCTGTGATCACACACATTTAGTCTCTTTGCTGTGTATGCTGTACGATTTCCTCATTTTAGGGAAATTTAAAACTCCTACTTGCCTCTAAGACCTTCCTGTAAGCATTCTCCATCCATGGTCCTCAAGGACTACTACTGCCCTTCTTCACCTCTTCTAACCCACTTTCTTTGTACTGTGTAACTTCCGTACTGTTTTCTGATAGTCCCCCTTTCAACTCTGTCCTGTTTCTTTCTCCAGGGAAATTGGCTTTTGTGGGAAACAGCCTTACTTCATCCCTTACCACATTCATGACACTGTTATGTACAAGCAGGTATCTGGTATTTTTAAATGTACATCTTGGTGGTCCACTGAATCACTCATATGGAGCATATTTAGTGCCACTTTGGCTAGCACCACTTTGTTACAGCAAGAAAGAGAAACACATTTCTTTTTACAGAACTGTGCCTGTAACTGCTTTGCCTCAGATGTCTTTGCTACTGAGTGGGTGAGGCTCCTCCGGTAGAAATTTTCATTATTTTCTTCAGCCTCCTGATTAATAAATTACTGATTAATAAATCAGATAAAATTCTGATTTATTAAGTCTCCATATTGTCTTTTTCTTAACCAGGTATCTATCAATTTCTCTCTCCCTTGTCTTCTCTGCTACCTCGAGGCTGACTCCAGCTGAGCCTGTGATGTAATTACCACTCATTCTCCTAGGTATTGTCTTTGCTGATGTAGCCTATGCTATAGATAGTAAAGTACATGGCTAAATTTGTCTTATAATAATTTATTAAGTAGTTGTCACACTAATAAATTATTTTGGGTTTTGAGCAATGAGTCAGTTCTTAATTAGTCACCACAGGAGAAGAGGGGAGCAGTCAGAATTAACCTGAAGCTCCAAACTCAAATATAATTAATGTCTAGAAGTCTGTTAAGTCATGTTGGATTTCATAATTAATTGATGGACTGAAGAAAAATGGTCTCCAAATAACAGCTTTCAGTGGAAGTGATGTCTCATTTTATTTACAAGAGTTTAATAGAAGGTTGGTCTTTCTTTGAGATGGGGTCTAAAAGAATGAATAATACTGTGATCTTCCAGGAAATTGTTTTTGAAGAAAAAAAAGTAATTTACCTTTGCCCACCAGCTTGACAGCATGAAGTATGTGTTAACGTTTTCATCTCCAAATTGCTCAGCCACATAGAGTCCCAGCGATCCGTACTTGTCATATATGTTTCTCTTTGACGAGTCTGTGAGGATTGTGTGGGCGTTGTTGATTTCTTTAAACTTCTCAGCAGCAGATGGGTCATCTGGATTCTTGTCTGGATGGTACTTTAGGGCTAATTTTCTTTTTAAGTTAAAAGTTAGGAGGAAAAGCATTAACTGTTTATCAAAAATTATAACATTTTATAAAAGGCAGGCTTCATTTGTACATCATACACACACACACACACACACACACACACACATATATATATATATACACACACACACACACACACATACATACCATGGGATGCTAAGTTTCACACTCGTGGCAACTTGCCTAAAAAATAGGTTCTTATTAAATGAGGTCGTTTGTTTCCAGAGTGCAGAAGCAATCAGACTGTTTCTCCCTCCACATTATCAAAGGAATTCTCACTAGGGGAATAAAGGCTGTGCTGGAAACAGCATACTACTGGCAAATGAAGGTGATTGTAGACCACCCCAACACATGGAGATCTTTATGACATCCAGTTTACACTAAAATTCCACATAGAACCCATAGGGCTACCTAGAGTGGCAGAACTTCATGTTACATATTCTTAAAGTATAAAATAAAAACTCTTAAATTTATATTATCATGAACAAGTATTAGAATCCCCTCATAAGTCCCCTGCATGTCTTTAACTCCTTTTATGTTTCTAAAACAGCCCATGATTTCTTTCTTTCTTCTTTCTCTCTCTCTCTCTCTCTCTCTCTGTCTCTCTCTCTCTCTCTCTCTCTTTTGGTTTTTCGAGACAGGGTTTCTCTGTGTAGCTTTGAAGCCTATCCTGGCACTCACCCTGGAGATCAGGCTTGCCTTGAACTCACAGAGATCCTCCTGCCTCTGCCTCCTGAGTGCTGGGATTAAAGACATGCACCACCAATGCCCGGCACAACCCATGATTTCTGTTGCTTCCAAGTACACACTTGACTTCTTTCCACAGAGTTCTTTCCACTTCCAACAGTCTGGGCATATGTAATAGTGGGTAGAAGGCTCTTCCTCCTTCCCATGGGGATTATAAAGCTGACCCTGAGGGTATGGTCTGTGTTCTGTGTTGGAGACAGTCTTGGATTGTTTTTAAATATGCTCAGCTATAAAAAGCAACCTGTATAATGGACTTAACAGGTCAGCCATGTGGCCTCCTAGCCCATAACCATTTCTCTCACTTCCCTCAAGAAACAATTCAAGTGATTAAAGCCATGTTCAAAATCGAACCTTCACTTTCTTTCTCTCATAAAGTCAATTATATGACTCAGTTAAAATTCCACATGCCTGTTTTCCCTCCTGTGCCTATCCTGGCTGTGCACAGGTGCTGAGCATTGCTGTTTACTGTATTGATTTAGACACAATGGTTCATTTTAGTACTTTAATAAAAGCCCAAATGCAGAACAGAAGAGTATCATACATTAAAGCCAACCTGAAAAATCACACCTATTTTAGGCATTAAAATATGGATTAAGAAATGGATAGATATCTACACAAGCTAAAAATCAAGGATGCTTAAGAAGTACCAAAAATACTTGGAAATGTAAATTGAGGTGTATAATGCATTCTAACCCTCAATGCAGAATAAATATACCTTAATCAGAATTATTCCTTTAAGTGACCGGGGGTTGGTGGCACACGCCTTTAATCCACACTTGGGAGGCAGAGGCAGGCGGATCTCTGTGAGTTCAAGGCCAGCCTGGTCTCCAGAGCGAGTGCCAGGATAGGTTCCAAAGCTACCCAGTCTCGAAAAAAACAAACAAAAAGAAAAAAGAATTATTCCTTTAAAATTCTTTTTTTCTTTTTGCTTTCAGAGATGTTTGGAGTACCATTAAGTTCTTACAGCTGAAACTACTGGTGTTGTGGTTTTTAAATGTGGAATTGATAAGAAAATGTTTACTTTTAGCCCAAAATGCTTGCCTTGTTATTTTTGAACTTTTTCAGTGTTTACTGTATGTCATCACTTGTAGCTTGGTATAAATACTCCCACCACAAGCATGAGAAAGGACTTACAACCATCCCATTTCACATATGAAATGCACAGATGAAAAGTGAAGAGCCTTGCCCAGCACCACACAGCTAACTGAGCTATCCAGGCTTGAAACACACGCAATTTGACTCTCATTCCATGCACTCTTTCTTACATTCTGCTGTGTTGGGATCTAGAGATTAAAACTTTTGACTTTAGTCTGTGTGACATGAGAGACCACCAGAATATTCTGAGATCATCAATATAACGAACTTTATCTTCAGGAGGCTTATGTAATCTGAAGGATGGCCAAGGCCAAAGGCGGCAATTGCTTCTAGGGCCTTTTGTAGTGCTCCAGGCAGAACATGTGGTAGCAGAGGACAGAATAAAGAGTGTTTGGATTCTGGGTACATTTTGAGTGACATCCAATGATTTGGATATGAGGGAGAAAGAACAATGAGGACGACAGCAAAGTTTGGCCTGAGCAAACAGAGATGGGAATTACTATTTAATGAGCTAGCAAGGGACCTTTTTGTAGTGAAAAAGTTTTGATGGATTTAAAGGCTCTATTTTGGACACTTGAGGTGTCTATTAAAACTCTAAGTGGATGTAGAGAGCTTCGAGTCCAGAGTTCAGAAGGAAGATATTGTAAGAGACACGCACGGGGAAGTTCTTGGTAGGCAGCTGATATTTACAATCATGAAACTGCAAGAGAGTACAAACAAAGTGGTACAAGAAGTTCGAAGACAGATTTGGGGTAGGATTTAAGAAAAACTGTCCATGTAGGGTTGGGCACATTTACAACCCCAAGAGGCCAAGGCAGGAGGGTCTTGAGTTGAAAGCAAATATGTCTCAAAAATCAAAAACATTTTAAAACAAACAATAAAAAGCAAGAATCAATGAAACAGAGGAAAAATCTGGACAGTGCACAGTCTTGGGATCCAAGGGAAGAAGGTATTTCAGAGAGGAATAATCCCTGAGACAGCTGATTCAGGGAGGCTGCGAAAGCCAAGGGCTCACAACTGACCACTGGATTTGGTGACCTAATTGTCTTTGTGACCACACACACACACACACACACACACACACACACACACACACCCCACCACACAGGGGGGGGGGGGGCAGGAGTTTCTAAAAGGGGGACAATAAGGGTTAAAGTAGGAAATAGGAAAAATGGAAAGTAACAACCAAAATTGACAGTGTTTATGGCTGTACATAAAAATTACAGGTAGTTCTTTGCTTTATTTTTTTGAATTTTTTATTTGAATTAGAAACAAGATTGTTTTACATTTACAATTCCAAATTCCCTCCCCCCCCACCCCAGCTAACACCCTACCTATCCCATACCCTTTCTGCTCCCCAGGGAGAGTAAGGCCTTCAATAGGAGATCTTCTGAGTCTGTCATATTCTTTGGGATAGGGCCTAGGCCCATGCCATGTGTCTAGGCTCAGGGAGTATCCCTCTATGAGGGATGGGGTCCCAAAGTCCATTCCTATGCTAGGGATAAGTACTGATCTACTACAAGGGGCCCCATAGATTTCCTAGGTCTTTGCTTTATTTTTGCTTATTATAAATATATGTATATATTGCTAATATGTGTTTGTCAAAGCATCTTGAAGCTCCAATGACAAAATTTGTTCTTTTGGAACATCTGGAAATTGCAATTTTATGACCTGTTACTGAGCCAGAGCGGGCTGGAGAAGATGAAAGAAACGTCCACAGAATAAGTTCAGTGCCCACTGTCTCAGCCTCTCTGGCAGATTCTTCAAGCATACATGTCTTAATGGCATAATATTCCTGGAATCCTCACTGTGTGCAGCATTTCTCCAGGTTAGTTCTCAAAATACCATGTGTTATCCAACCAAATGGAAAGACTATGACCTCTGCCCAGAGGGAAAAATTCCCTGGAAAATGGTTCTGATATGCCTTGCCTTGTTTCCAGGCTTCAGTGGAACACTATAAACCCTACCCAGACTATGCCAGAAGCCCGGCTTCCTGTCATTTTTTACCCTGTTGGATCTTAGTCAGATCACAAGGGCAGATGCACTCAATCCATTTATCACACTCCTCTAACAATGCTGTTGGCTGATTTGGAGGGTTGGAACGCCTCCATTTGTAGAAAGTCCAAGTCCTGGTTGTCAGCAGTGTTTTGACTCCTCTTGGCAGACACTCTTGGCTCTGAGATTCCTTGGCACAGATGGCAAAACAGGGGCAGCTGCCAAAATTACACAACTGCTCAAGCAGGTGAAGTCACTGTGTGTCCCACCTTCCTGGGGACTGCCCACAGAGAAAGGAAACATGCAGCTGATGCAAGGATTGAGCAAAGCTGGGACTGCATTTCAATAGAGCAATCACCAACATGTGCTGAAGGTGTTTCTTGGCATTTCTAATTTTATGTGTAAAGTGGCATGGTATTCCACTAGAATGTAAGCCTTCTTCTCCAAACCTCTCTTGCTTTCTAAAGGTGGTCCTTGAGGAAGATAAACAGGACATAGCTAACACTCTCAGATGAGACGTACTTCCTACTCTCACTAGCCTCCTGTCACTTGGGGCAGGTCCTGACCGTTCACTCAGCTCTCCCTCCGTATGCTGGAATGTCAGAGAGAACTTTTGGGGCGTCCTCGGTAGCCACATTCCACAGTTTTGGGGCATCTGTTGCAACCACATTCTACTCTTTGTCTCTATCTCTTTTCTCCTACTCAATACATGCCTCCCTTTCCTCAGTTTCTTTTTGTTGCTTATAATTTCAAAGATACTTTAATTTCTTTCAGACCATAAAACTTGTGCCCTTTGTGATCTCTCAGAAACATACTTGCATGCTGCTGAAAGGGAGATGGGGCCACTGATTTCTTCCTGCATTCTCGAATTGTTGAAACTACCCCCATGGCACAGCCAGCTGGGCTAGAGCCAGTACCAACTGGGATTTTTGTTTCATTTTGATATTTAAAAAATTCTTATTGGGTTTTTGTTTGTTTTGATTCTTTTTGTGTTTGGGGAGTTTATTTTCTTGGTTTTTGAGAAAATGTTGCATGGTAGGGGATAGAACACAAACGAAGTTGGGGGGGGATTGGAAGAGTAGAAAACTGACCAAACTATAGTGTATGAAAACATTAATTAGAAAAATATAGGCCCACTGAATGGTGGT